CCATGTGAAGAAGTGAAGAGATGCGGAATGGGAAGAAGGGAAGTGGAATAAGCATTGCATTAACCTTGACAAAGCCAGATTTCCCTCCCATCAGCATTAGAATGACTGACTGCTGTTTTCTTTATTCTAATGTAGAAACCCAGGAAACCCTTGGAAAAATACCCAGTGATTCATAATGCTATATTTACACATGTTTAGTGACTGACTGGCAGCAATTTTTTTTTTTTTTTTAAACCCTGCAGATCATTTAGGCACTCAGGRATTCTCCCCAACATTCATCCCGTTTGTGAGAAACGGGTATTTTCAAAGGCCTCTTCTGCTTGTTGGCCCAAGGCACCCTCAGCTGGAGGGCTGGGGCCCGTGGCATGAGCCGGGTGCCTGGACACGGGTGTCCGCGTGGAGCTGCGGGCAGGAGCGGGCAGGCCGGGATGGAGGCCGGCACCCTGTGGGGCGCCCCACACCGTGCCCGGGGCAGTGGGTCTGCAGGCACCGCGGCTGCGGACTCTGAACCCTTCCCAAAGCACCTCCTTTCCCATTATAACCCAACGGAGATCCRGGCTGGGTTCTGTCTAAAGAAATACGCCATAGAACGGAAGATGACTAAAGAAATAGACCCTGCTAAGGTGTGTGGCCTCCACCTGGAGCTGGCAGGATGACCCAGGAAATGTGGGAAACCCATGGCTCTCCAGAGGGGTGGCTGTGGGCCAGGCACGCTGCCCTCCGCCTCTCAAACRACATGGGATGTTTAAGCTCATACAGCTTCTTCCCAAGCGGAGCTGCTGCCCGAGAGTTTCACAGATGCTGGAGAAAACCCGCTGTTGATTTCAGGGTCTCACCCACGCAGAATTCCTCCCTGAACTTCTCAGTCTGTTTGTATACAAATTAAAGCATTTTGTTTAGACTGAGGGGCCCTGTAAACGCCCTGTGCTAGTGCTGCATGCAAATATTCCTAAAACATGCAAATGTTGCTGTGTATGTGCACGGAGCTTTTCRATCAGCTTTCCAAGATTCCCTCTTTTTTTTTCTGAGTTGTTTTAAAATGCTTCCACTCTCTTAGAAAGAGAGGCTTCTATCCATCATCTGGGATGATAACGGAAACAATGGAAAAAACTGGGAACCATTAAACTGCTCATGCTGTTTCTTGCCAAATCTATGATTTATTATTGTGCCCCTCATCCCATCTGTTTTCTGGACCTTAACTCCATATCATCAGCCCCTCGGCTCGCGTCTGCACAGGACGGCCCGCAGTGCCGTAAAAGTGAAAGAGCAAATTCCCTGGTAACCCCTATTCCTCCCCGCGGCACCGCCCTCCAGGGAGGCCAAAGGGCTTTTCCTCTGGGGAAAGGGCCTGGATGCAGCTCCTTTGGGCGCAGYGGGCGCCTGTGTCTGCAGTGCACAGCCCTGCGCGGGGAGCCGAGCGCTGCAAACCGGCCGCAACCTTCGCTCAGAGGGGCACGAGCGCGCGGCCCGGCCCGGCCCCTCGGGGCTCCCTTCTCTCTTCCGCAGCTCCCACCGAGCGCCCTCTTCGCCTCCACCTCGCTCTTCACCCTTTCTGAGCACCCAGAATATAAAAACGGATCCAAGRCAACATAGATCTCGCGGGAACAAGGGTGCGCAGCTTTGCAGGCTCTTCCCTGATACACCATGTCATTTCAACTCTGTTTCTGATATGCTCAAAAGGTTTGCTTCACTTACCTCCTTGTGGTTCACAGCATCAGAACTCACTGTTGCTTTATAGCTACATTGGTATTTGAGAGAAATTTTAAATTCAAAACATTTTCAGAAGTTSAGATGTCTCATTCCAAAGAGCGGCACTCACCAAATGGACTAAGTAAATATTTCATCAGCTTTATTAATGTAGTAAGTACACACAATATATATGATTCGGGGGACCATTTAAAAATACATTAAAACTCTTTGCCATATTAAAAAGGTTATAGCATTAAGTCAGAGGTGATATTTTGTTCTCCTGAGAATGTTTGTACACACAATAGGAAGATATGGGGTTACATTACTTTTAAGGATTCTTTACATTTGCTTGCTTCTTGACAATATATCTGACAACCATTTTCATAWATACCCAATGAATTTAAAATTGGATTACATTTTGGAAATCAATTTCAGGCTGTCTCAATAAATCACAAACATTCTAGCTATAATATCTGGATGGCGGAAAGGAGCTGGATCTTATATAATTCCCCATGGCTCAGGAATTTTCTTACCAGCCTTGGGTATTTTTAATGCAGCCATTACTTAGAAGAATAAACGTGTGGTTGTGAGAAAGGTTAAAAGAAGGCCACAGARTTTAAGAATATCACAGAATGCTCACACGAAGAAGGCGGAGATACAGTGCAAACAGCAGATAGCAATTCAGGGATTTATCTCCTGTGCTGGAGCCAAACTCYGATTCCAAATCAATACTTGGTAAGTGATTAGCCAGCATGCAGAAACAGAGTCTGAAGGCTGCCCTAATCCAGGAACAGTATGAAGTGTGCTTAGCTAAATCAGTTGAAATGTTGTGAAAAGTTGTTTAGGAAGTCTAGGCAGAAAAAGAAAAAGCATACATTTAAAAAAAAAAATGTATCTGTTCTGTGCAAAATGAGATACATGGCAAATCTGTGATAACTAGGAGAGGGTTTTGGAGGATATACACTSGGGGGTGGAGGAGAATGGAGTAGCAATGTGCATTAGAGACACAATAGGCTGCCAAGATACAGAGAAGAGCATAAGCGAAATGGAATTTGTTGGGGTCACAATCACTTTGGGGATGGCTGGCAAAAAGTGGCCATATAGGGCAGAAGGGAAGGGGGTGGAAGAGGGAAGAGAGGCCCCCAGGCTGCGGCCACACAGAGAAAGGGCTCGGGAGCAGGGTTAGGTGCATGCACGGCTCAGACCCACTAACACTGCCGGCCAAGCTGGTCTGCAGGCAGCAAAGTCTCTGCGCAATGCTTGGGGAAGGCAGCACACGGGATCTCTCTCCGTGCCCGGCAATACCCGGAGCTCCGTGGGCAGCACGGTGCGTGTGCCAGGGCGCAGGCTGCTCCTGCCTCTCCCGGAGCAGGGAGCAGGCGCCGAGGGCCGCAGCAGCACAGCGGGAGGGAGGCTGGGTGCACGGAGCAGCCTCTGCTCGCGCTGGGCTCACACACASACAGGTACCGGGATGGGCACGCCGGCTCCAGGCAGGAAAACACACACACATGTAGGTATGGTAGTTACCTGAACAGACTGAAAAGTGTCTTAAAAACACTTAACAATGCATAAATTTATGCATTACGCAAATGCATAAATTCTAATTGAGCAACATCATTCCAGGTGAGGAGGTACTTCTTTACTGTTAGGATGACAGARCAGTGGMACAGGCTGCCCAGGGAGGTTGTGGAGTCTTCCTCTCTGGAGGTCTTCAAAACCCACCTGGATGCCACCCTGTGCCACATGCTCTAGGTGTCCCTGCTGGAGCAGGAAGGCTGGACTAGATGATCTCTAGAGGTCCCTTCCAACCTTGAATATTCTGTGATTCTGTGATTCCTCAATTTAAAGGTTTATGTTAGAAGCAGATTGAAGCTGTGAAACACAGGGAGTTTACTGGTCCATATAGYCTTGGTGTGAGTTTCTAAAAGCGCAGAGATAAAAGTGACTCTGATTTGTGTCCCTCTCGGCCATGTCCTACGCAGGCTCGTTGGAAGCAGCGCGCACTGGAAAGCGCTGCTGGAGCAGAGCTGAGATGTATTTCGTTTCAGGTTTTAAACTGAAACACGTTTTCTGTGATGACACAAGTAGAAACACAGAAACAGATGTGTGAGATTTCAAATGCCACAGCGAAACTTCCTGACACATAATAGGTTCAAAATGAGAGGGTGGCCTCACCTTCCGAATCAAGCAGCCTTTTGTTTACGGGCGCTAATGGGAAGCAAACACACAGCAGCAGCAGCAGCAGCGTGTTTCCCAGGCCCTTTGCAGCAGAGCCCGTGCTGCCTTTTTGGGGATGTTCACRCAAAACAAAGGCAAACCTGTCGGAGTGAGCATGTGGCAGAGTTAAACGAGCCCCGCGTCAAGGGCGAGTTTTCACTGCACACTTATCCCTAGCAGCCGCTCACCCCACGCAGGGCACTGCGGAGCTTTGCGCAAGGGTGGGTTAAATCAGTGGTCAACGTGCAGTGTTGGGAATCAGCTAAAAGGAGCCAGTAATGTTCCAGTAAGGGACTTGTAGAAAGGGCACTGTAAAGAGGACTGAATTGTAAAAGCTTGGACAGCTACGCAGTGTGAGCTTGTAAGTTCTTCTGTGTTTAATGAAAAGCACTTAAAAACTCCTCTGTATCTGTGTAATATAGGCCTGATAAACCTTTGCTGCTGTTGTTTGTTAATGTGAATGTGCTCACTGGGGTTATCCCAAAACCGTGGCAAGAACTGCAGGCCAGTGCAGTGACCTGGGAGAAGGGGTGTTTTATGGCCACGGCCTTGGCATGTGACACCCGGCTCTCCTGGGCCTCACTGSTGATGTACGGAAAGATGGTTTGAGGGCTCCCGTTCTCCTGGTGCCGCCAAAGACAAAAAAGGGGAAAAAATACGGGAGATGGAGACCCCCTTGGGGGAAAGCCCCCAAAACCCAGTTCCTCCCGGCACGGCAGGGACCTGCCTCAGCCCCCAGCTGATCCTCTGTAGTTTGCGAGCACAGTTTTAAGAGCTGCTCCTGCTCGTGCGAGGGGCGGCCCGTGGTCCCCGCGGAGCTCCAAAGGATTTGGCGGATCCGGCTGGCCACTCGCGAGCCATTCAATGTTGGCCGCGCTCCGTGACAGGACTTCCCGCCGCCGCTTCTCACGTCCGTACAAGCCACAACGCCGCGGCGGCCGGCAGCGGAGAGGGGACGGTCCCCCCCACATCCCAACGGCCCGGGGAAGCCGCCCGCCATGGCTCCCCCCCCGCCTGTCCCGGGGCGAGGCGGGCGGGGAAGGCGGAGGTGGGAGGAGACGGGGCAGGACTTTGGTCGCCGCTACAAAGCCGGTGACAACCCGCCGCGCCCGGCACATGGCGCTCGGCCCTTCCCGCCCGCGCCGCGGCGGCAGGTGGGTGCGGGGCGGCGGCGTTAGGGTCCCCCGCCGCGGCCATGCGGGGAGCGGAGCGGGGAGCAGCAGCAGCGACGGCGGCGGCACCGCCGCCACCACCCGCTTCCCCGGCCCCCGCGGGGGACAGCGGCGGTGGGAGGGGGCGAGAGGAGGGGGAGCGAGCGCGACCGTTGGGCGCGACCGTTGGCGCCGAGGGGCGGGCGGCGGGGGCTCCCCGCGCGCGGGCGGGCGGGCG